GAGAGAGAGAGAGAGAGAGAGAGAGAGAGAGAGAGAGAGAGAGAGAGGAGAGAGGAGAGAGAGAGAGGAGGGGGAGAGAGGGCGAGCACATATAAAAACCCAAAATTTGCCCCCCTTCCCCCTCCAGTTTCTGGTGTCATTTTTGAAGCAGGGTGCCTGTTGCTGAAGCTCATTTTTGTTTTGTTTAAAGGAGTCCAGGCTACACAGTCTTCCCTGCAGTCCCTGCTCGGTGCTGTCCCGGCACCCTGGTCAGCCGGGTATACAAAGCAGGCAGCCTCCTCCTCCAGCATCCTGGTCCTGCCCGGGCAGTCCTGGCCTTGTGGGCTTCCAGGCAATCCAGTCCTTTGGGACTTCAGTTCCATCTTAAAGGAGCCTCAGCTTGCCTTCGGAAGAGCAGTTTGGAGGTAAGTCAGGGAAAAAGGGGCCCCCACTGCTGGGGGTAAGGGAGTCAGGGTGGAGGTCCGGGCTGGTTTGTTCTTCTACCCCTGTGGGTTTGACGAACTTGGAACAGGTCCTTTCTCAGAGCCATCCAGACAGCATCTGCTTGGACAGTCTCAACCCCAGGACTCCCAGCTGCATTGGGATGAGCCTCTGGCCCCCTGCCTTAGTTGAGAAGTCCTGGCTGGTTTGTTTAGGCAGCTGCCTGGGGTAGTTTGAACAGAACAGGCCACAGAGTGGGAGGGGTGGAGGGGTGTGTGTGTGTGTGTGTGTGCATTGCACAAGGGGCCTTGTCTGGACCAGGGCAGCAAAACATACCTATGGGGGGCTCCAGTGGGAGGGGCTGTAGCCAGGATGTGGGAGGGCAGAAGGGAGGTTCTGTGAAGTGCTGGGGGAGGGGGTGACTGGAAAACAGATTTCAAGTCATAAAGTCAGCTAGGAACAGGCCGAGGCAGAAAGAGCTCTGTGCAGAGGAGAAGTTGGGGTCCACTTCCATCCTGTCTTCACCTTGCCTGCCTACACAACCTTGGCAAGTCCAAGCCCTCTTATGGGCCTCAGGTTTTTTCTCCTATGGAGTGAGGGTGGTGGGTTAGGTGGTGCTGGATTCTGGCTGGGTTCTGCAGGGCCTTCTAATGGTTGGGATCTGAGGAGGGACAGGTCCTTTCTGTGAATCCTTAGGCTCACTCACCTGGGTGGCATGTCCTTCCCCGTAGGAGGTACCATGCAGGCACTGTGCCTGCTTTGCTGGGCTGTCCTCCTGAACCTGGTGCAAGCTTGTCCGGAGTCCTGTGGCTGTGGCGAGAAGTATGGCTTCCAGAGTGTAGACTGTGCCTATCGTGACCTGGAGGCTGTGCCACCAGGCTTCCCAGCCAATGTGACCTTACTGAGTCTGTCAGCCAACAGGCTGCCAGGTCTGCCGGAGGGAGCTTTTAAGGAGGTGCCCCTGCTGCAGTCACTGTGGCTGGCACACAATGAGATCCGCTCGGTGGCTGCTGGTGCCCTGGTCTCTCTGGGTCATCTCAAGAGTCTAGACCTCAGCCACAATCTCATCTCCGAGTTTGCCTGGAGTGACTTGCATAACCTCAGCGCTCTGCAGTTGCTCAAGATGGACAGCAATGAGCTGGCCTTTATCCCTCGGGATGCCTTCCGCAGCCTCCGTGCCCTGCGCTCTCTGCAGCTCAATCATAACCGCCTGCACTCTTTGGCTGAGGGCACCTTTGAGCCCCTCACCGCGCTGTCTCACTTGCAGATCAATGACAACCCTTTTGACTGCACCTGCGGCATCGTGTGGTTCAAGACATGGGCCCTGGCTGCTACAGCAGTGTCTATTCCGGAACGGGACAACATTGCCTGTACCTCACCACATGTGCTGAAGGGCACCCCACTGAGCCGTCTTCCACCCCTGCCCTGCTCAGCACCCTCCGTGCAACTAAGCTACCAGCCCAGCCAGGATGGAGCAGAGCTGCGGCCTGGCTTTGTGCTGGCACTCCACTGTGACGTGGATGGACAGCCAGTCCCCCAGCTTCACTGGCATATCCACACTCCTGGTGGCACAGTGGAGATCGCCAGTCCTAACGTAGGCACCGACGGACGTACCCTACCTGGTGCCCTTGCAGCCAGCGGGCGGCCACGCTTCCAGGCCTTTGCCAACGGTAGTCTACTTATCCCTGACTTTGGCAAGCTGGAGGAGGGCACCTATAGCTGTCTGGCCACCAATGAGCTAGGCAGTGCTGAGAGCTCTGTGAATGTGGCACTGGCCACTCCCGGCGAGGGGAGCGAGGATACCCTGGGGCGCAGGTTCCATGGCAAAGCAGTGGAGGGCAAGGGCTGCTACACGGTTGACAATGAGGTACAGCCATCTGGACCCGAGGACAATGTGTTTATCATTTACCTCAGCCGTGCCGGGGTGCCGGAGGCTGCAATAGCAGCAGAAGGGAAGCCTGCGCAGCAGCTCTCGGGCCTGCTTCTCCTGGGCCAAAGCTTGCTTGTTCTCTCCCTTGCCTGCTTCTAACCACACCCTGTCCCAGCTGGCTGGAGCAGCCCCAGGGCCTTTCCAGCTCCTCCTGACCCTGCCAGTGTTCCTTCTAAGTACTGAGGTTGGTGAGGCCTGAGGTTGGCCTGGGGACTTCATATTTTCCTACCTCCCTTTCTAAGCTCTTCCAGGCCACTCGTTGCTCCAACTTGTAGATCTGCTCAGAGCTAACAGCTAGGGTAGAACTGTATCCCAGAATCCATCGTCTCTGGTGCTAATTGCTGCTAACAGCATTGCCTATGCTCCTATCAGGGGCTGCATGCTAACAGGGCAACAACAATGTCCTAACCCTGGCCCACTTTATGCACTGAGGTAAGGAGCTTGGGGAGGCCACCCAAGTGGGTACTGGGGCCGGGGTGGAGGGGAACCTGGAGTGGCCAGTACAGGATCTGGGAAGGGAGTACTACAGGAAGGGCTGGGGAGCCTAAAAGCTCTCCCTGTCTTCTTAATGTCTTCTGGTGAAATGTGGAAACTGTCCCTGGCTGGGCCTCTCTCTCCTCTCACACCGAATCCTCATAGCCTGTGCCTGCTCCTCGAGACTCTTGCCTCTCCTTTATTTCCAAGTGTGCACCAGTAACCTGCCTCCCCAAAGAAGCTAGCCAGTCTGGGGTAGCCAGGAAAAAAAAATAAACAGCATTTCTGATGCCCCCGTTCGTCTGCCTGGAATTCTGTTGGGATCAAAGAGTCCTTGTGAGAGGATGGAATGGCCACATGTGAGAGTTGTACCAACACAAGGCAGGGACCCATAGGACATATGTGCTGGGTGTTTTGGGTAACATGGGAGGGGAGTCCAGACTCATCACTGGGCCATAACATGAGCCAAATTGTATATTTTTGTCTCCAAACTAACTCATTGGACATGTGGGGTGGGAACATGAGCATTGCTTTCTGCATTTTGGGAGGGGGTTAGGTGAAAGATATGTGTTGTAGACCCAGGAATAGTGTTAGGAATAGAGTTGGGGACAGATGGGACAAGAGCAAGAAATGAGACTGAAGGGTGGGGAAGTAGGGGACCAAGGACAAAGAAGAAATTGAAGACAGCCTGAAGGAAAGGAATAATGCTGCCCTCTGGCTTTCCTTCTAGTAATTGGAAATGGCCCCACAAGGGATGCTCCACTGACCTAAGGAAAGACTGGAAGTTGGGGGCTAGACACAGTGGTGCGGTTGTAGATAGGTCTGCCAGCAGAGACTCTGAAGAGCTCCAGGCCTGTGCTGGGCCAGAAGTGTCTCCCTACTCCCCACCTTTAAAGGATGGATATGTGCACACAGGTCTGGTGACCTTCAGGGGAAGGCCTGCCCCTCTCTGCAGAGCCCCAGGACTGCTGAACTCAGCAGAATGAAGGCAGGGGGTTGAGGAGTCTGGAGGAGCAGCTGTGAGTTTGGCAGCTGGCCAGCCCCTCCCCCACACTGGGGTCCCCATGTAGGGCTTGCTTTCCTTCTCCCTCATCCGTCTCTGACCTGTGGCTCCTGTTGAGTCCTTGTTAGTCAGGGTCAAGAACATCTTCACTTCTGAGCGAAAGCACCAGGATGGAGCCATATCCTTTATGCTGTTCCTTTGGGTAAGTTTATGCCCATCTCCGGGTTTCAAGTGTGTCAGAAATCAAATCACAGAGGGTTGGCAATATAGCTGAGCTGGCAGAGGGCTTGCCTGGCATGCTTGAGGCCCTGGAGTAATGGTACATGCCTTTAATCTTGACTCTCAGGAGGTGGGCACTCAGGAAATAAAGTCAGGAAGACCAGATACTTATGCTACATGGCAAATTTGAGGCCAGCCTGAGCTGCATGAGATCCCATTTCCCAAAAACGCAAAGACGGTAGTGTCTAAAAGTCCAGTTGATTGGTTGACTAGACCTGACAGTCCTGATGTGGAGCCTAGCTTCTCTGCTCCACGTGCCACTAAGCAGGATGGACATCTTAAAGGTCCATAGCACCTGCCACTTACCATCTAGGGCAGAGTAACATGGGAACTGCTATGTCTAAGTGAACTAGCAACTCCTTTGCTTTGGTCTTTTGTGGCTTCCACTGTCCTTAGTGTATAGCAGGAATTCCCAGCCAGCCATGGACCCTCTGACTGGCTTCTCCCATGTGGACCACCCCTATCTGTATCTTCTTACAAGGCCTGCGAAGAAGCTGCGTCTTTACATACCCTCTGCTTACCTCTCCCCCAATATACCCTTTTCCTGGTCTTCATCTGGCTGAATCAGTTTCCGACATGACCTCCTCCCAGATGTTTTCTTAGATCATCTCTCACCTGGTGTGAACCAGGCCCCTTCCTTTGACCCCCTTGTCTTGTGATTCAGCCAGATTGTATTCGCTTGTGACAGTCTCCTTGGTAAGGGCAGAGGCAGAATCTGAGTCATCCTCCTGTGACTGTGTGGGTTATTGACACATCACATAGAAGATGTTTTGTAGTAGTCTGAGGGGGACTTAGAGCATGCTTTCTCTGACCCCTGGGCAGCCCAGATCATGGGTTTGAAAGCCAGGAGGTACCTCTGGTGAGTTGTGTATGTGTTTGATCTATAGTTGGAAATAAACAGATATGATTTTGAGGTTCCCTGACCCAAACAGGGTGGGGAGGCATAATGAACCACATCTGAAGCATCTCTCTGATTCATGTATCTTCTATCTCCTCCAGAACCTCAATGTGTCTGCGTCTCTACTGTCCCTCTGCATCCTTGGTCCACTGCCTTTAGCCTTCTCTGCTCTGAATGACACCTCTCTCCCCTTCCTGTCTTTCTTTATTCCTTTAGAGTCTCCACCATTCCTGCAGCTTCCAGGCCCCAGATCCTGCCCATTCCGTAAAACCTGCAAGTCCAGGAATGGCGTCGTAGGGGCCCCAGCCAGCATCATGCAAAACTGGGACTCCTCTCTATCCTCACCCAGTGTCCATCCCAGCACCCCAAGAGCCCCCGTACTTCCCCAAATCAATCTCAGATGATGCTTACTGACAATGTAGGTGGTTCCCCTGAGAGCCCTCCCCTGTGAGGAGGAACGTTCTTCAGGGGCACATTTATTTCCTGGAGCACACTAACTTCTTTCATGACAGCTAACGGCATTAAAGCTACAAAAATATGTAGCTCTTGGAATGGGCAGCTCAGTGGGGCCTCTTGGAGTCTGACTTGGCTGCACAGGAAAGGGTGGCGGGGAAGAGAGAGGAAGGAGAAAGCTGGGGCCGAGAAGAAGCCCACACAGACTCCACCTTCATGGTGGGAGGGCTGGGACTGAGGTGGGGCCAGCTGGGATGGGAGAAATCCAGACCTTTCATCACCAGTAGGGAGCAAGGTGGAGCCTCACTGAGGCCCAGCAGGCTGGTGGCAGAACCAGTGTGGAGAGAGAGGCCTTAGTGTGGCTACCCCAGCTCTGCCAGTTCCAGGACTAAGACCCCACCAGCTGTTTTCTCCAGAGCCTTAGCTGGTAGCCTGGCGGACAAGCACAGACCAAAGTCCTCTTGAGGCTGGTGGTGCAGACACAGCGACTCCAGTTCTCTGATCCCACAGGGATCTGCTGGCTTGGCAGAGCTGCCGCTGGGGGAGGGGAAGTGCTGACATGGATGGGAGGGAGGATGGTAGGCTGGAATGTGCCTCTGCACATAAGAGCAGGACCCTGTGGTTTTCCTCACCCTCAGGGCTGGGTGCCATTGGCCTTGGCACCACTTAGGGCTGCCTTCCGCAAGGCCTGCAGGCTTGGGTTGTGTAACAGAGTGTAGGCCAGACCCCAGCGGGCCCTACTCCGACTGCCTTTGGGTCCTGCTCCCTTGGCCATCAGGTCCTTGGTCTGTAATAGTTGCATCCCTGAGAGAGACAGAGAGGGGAAGGAGGGAGGGAGGAAAGAAAGGAGGAAGGGAGAGAGAGATCTTCTATGAGTTCCAGCCAAGTTTTCACAGGCCCCAGACCTGAGAAGGGTCTGAAACCTCCATGCACATTCAGGGTTCCAGTTACCAACTAGGGGAGTAGCAGAAGACTGGGCTGCAGAAGTTTGCCACCCTTCTGTTGGAAGAGGAGAGAGAAGATGAGGTCTGTGAACTAGAAGCCTCAGGCTTGACAGCAGCAGGTGGGGGTCAGGGAAGTGAGGGCGGGCCTATCCGACCCTACCATAGATCTCCTGGGCAGAGAAGGAGGGGGTGTCTCACTCCAGGAGGAAGCGGGGGGTGGGGGGAGAACAGAACCAGTACAGCCATTCTAGTCTCTCTGCACACACAGTGTGTAAGTCCATATTAGAGAAAAAGTTACCCCAGACCCAGCCAGGAGGGTGACAACAGGAAGCAGGAAGACAGAACTTGGGAGACTTCCCGCTGCTCACTATTTTGGAGAGGCCTTCTGTGACTCCCCCACTGAGAAGCTAGGAGTCTACATCCCCAGCCCAGGTGAAGAAGTACCTTCTTCTTCCTCTGCTGGTCTGAGGCTGTCCTGGGGGGCCAGCGGGGGTCGGGGCTGTGGACTTGGTGCATGAAGGAGCAGAGTACAGAAGGCTATGACTGCTGGATGCGACTGGCTGGCCTCAATCCTCAGGAAGTTTCGGTATGTGTGATAGCCTAGGATAGGTTGGAGACAGAATGCTAAGGCATGAGGAGCCCATGGCAGACTAGAAGTACCCAGAAACAGCAAGAGGCATCTGGGGAGATGTGTACACACTGGCATCCAACCAATCATGGCACACACACACTGCATACAGGCCCTGGCACGCCTGTTAGAATACACCACACCCACCCCGCTGCACGTGATTGTCCAGCACCAAATAACTCTGCCATTTCTGCGCACACACTCAGGGAATCCTGGCAGCAGACACACACTGCACCCACATGGCCTTACACCATGGAGCCTTGGCAATGCTCACACACCTGCTGCACACAAGAAGCCGACATGCACAGATCAGCTCAGAGGTCAGGGTCGGGCAGCTGCTTGAACAGCTCAGCCCCCCAGTCCCTGCCTAGGAACCTTACCTGGATCCAGGGAGGCGGCTCTTGGTGGCAGCAGGCTGAGGTCCATCTGGCCCAGGTGAACAGCATTGTAGAGGGAAGAAAGGAGCACCCGCCAGATGGCCACGACAGCGCCCACCAGCATGTTGACAGGGAAGAGAAGAAAAGTGGCTACACAGAGCATGCGCCTGGAGGGAGGGAGGAGAAAGGCTGAGGCAGGCCTCCCCCAGAGTCCTGCGCCGGGCCAGAACTGGCACTGTTGCTATCCAGTGACTGACATTTTCTGGGTGTACTTTTGTGCCTTTAGGGAAACCAAAGTTTACTAGTAGGTGTCTTCCTCTCTGGCTCTCTACCTTGGCTTTGAGGCAGGATCTCTTGCTCCACATGGAGCTCACTGATTCAGCAGGACTAAGTTGGCCAGCAAGCCGCGGGGATCCTTCATGAGTGTGCCGCCATTATGTGGGGGCTGAGGATCAACTGGACTCAGGTCCTCATGATAGCATGGCAGGCGCTTTACCAACTGAGCCATCTCCTCAACCCTCCACCTGTATCTATACAACCCTGGCGTTCCTGCCTTCCTCCTCCGAGCTCCCCCGACTCCTCCACAAACTCCAGGTTCCTTTTTGGAGCCAAGATTTTTCCCACACCATTGCTCCAAAGTGTAGAGGAGTTTGTGGGGAAGAGAATATCAGTGACCCTCAAAGCCAGAGGCTCCAGGCAGAGCTGGGCTGACAGCTCAGTGGTTGAGTATGTGTCTGCCATGAACTAGGCCCTGGGTTTGCAAGGCTATGGGTTCTCATCACCCCCAAAATCACCTGGGAGAAGATTGGCTCTGTGACAGATAGGAAAGAGGCATTTTAGAAGGTAAAATCTACAGAAAGAGGTAAGAGTCTGGGACCTGAGGGAAGCACAAACTTGGGGGCCATCTTACTGGTTGGTCAGTTCTGGGTAGCCATGGTGAGTCTCCAGGAAGATCCAGTGGGCTGCTATGTTCTGCAGGATTACAGCCAAGGCCAGAGTCAGCCAGAAGGGCCTGTATGTAGGCAGGACAAGGGAAGGGTGCCATTAGAGGGCCCTCTGAAAAGTCCAAGAGCCCTGATCCTTGCCTCACTCACCATGTAGATTCCAGGGATCGGAGGAGCAGGAGGTTCCTGCCATGGAGCAAAGGCACAAACACCAGGAAGGCCAGGACTGTGGTGCCCAGGAAGAAGATGATCTGCTGCACCAGGAGCCCTGCAGGGGGCAGAAGGGGCAAGGGGACAGATGGGAGGTTCCCTGGGAACCAGCTTGCCCCTGTATTCTCGGAAGTTTCTGTGGCTACCTCCATCCCATGTCATTGCCTGGGCCCTGGATTCTTCTATAAAATAGGGATAACAGTTCCTGCCTTAGGGGGCTATTGTAAGATTCCAGTAGCCTCAGAATCCTTGGTTTTGCTCCCACCTTGATCCTGAGTTTTCAGGCACAAATTACCTTTTCAATGAGTGTGTGTGTGTGCCTGTGAACCAGAGCTTAGTTAGCTGTAGGTGCTGAGTGTGGCTGTGGAAATCCCCAGCCCATACAGTCGCCTGGGGTGATGTATACAGAGGGCATGGGAGGTCTAAGGTGGACCAAGATGAGGAACACAACTTTTAGTTCTACTCTTTCCTCCACCTCAAGTCATCTTCCCTCTTCCCCTGGGTGGGAATGGACGATCTCAAGGCCACTTCTGGCCTTTGGACTTGCAGGAGGGGCCAAGTCTCTCGCAGTTCCTAAGGAGACAACTTGAGACATGGTCTAGAACTTGAGTTACCTGACCAGATTCTCTCAGGTAACACGCTACACAGCTGTCCCATGCTTATGGAACCTTACTTGCTCCCCCAGGAAAGAGGAACTCTTCTCCTTGAGGCAGCCCATTATGGCCAGTCTCCCTTACAGAAGCAGCCATGGGCCACATCCAGACCCAGGTTCATTGTGCCCACAATTACCCAAGTGAACCTTCATGTGAAGCGCTCCCTTTTCAGGGGGCCCCTACACTGTCATCCAGAGCAAGCTTCCTGAACACATGATGCATGGAGCAGAGAACGGGAATGAGGGATAGGTTCCTCCTACTTCTCTTGCCCTACCCAGCCCAGGAAAACACTTGCCAACTACCCATCCCCCCCACCAGGGCCCAGCCCTGGAATTGTGGCAAGGGGGCTCACCAAGGCAGCAGAAGGCTGTCTGGTAGGCACTGAAGCTCATCCAGCAGACAATGGCTTGGCGAGATGGGTGAGTACTTTGAAGCGGGAGACCCAGGTCCATGCTAGCCCCTCGGTGCAGTGCTTGAAGATTAGCCCTGGGTTGAGAAAAGTGACCTCAGGGAATAATAGAGTTTCTCTAAATGGTAGCCCAAGGTGAGCATCTGACTATCAGCAGGGAACCTTTGGGTTGCAGGAGCCTGGAGATTAATTGTCTGGAAGCAGTCTTCCAGAAAAGCTAAGTCTGTGTAGCCTTAGGAGACCCCGGACAGAGGCACAACCTGATCACTGGGAATGATGGGACTGGAACCCAGGTGGGCCACCAGGAGGCAGAGGGCCTCAAATGCCAGGGCAAGTAGGGCCAGTTTTGTGGTCTCAGTTCCCGAGGCCTGTCGAGCACCTAGAGTAGGTGGATCAGTTCTCTGCATTGCTCATTTCCAGGAACAACTTCCCCAATGCCCCTCCACCTTCCCGGGTTTCTTCTCCCCCTCCCACTTCTCGCTCTTTCTCATGCAGTCACTCTGCCTTTGGTACCCTTCTCCCTCAGTCCCACGCTCTTGGACCATTGGAACTGGATTCTTCTTTACCAGCCCTCCCAGGGCACCTTCTCACAGGCAAACTCCCTGACAATGTGGTGTGCCCTGTACCACTCACAGATCTCAAAGACAACCACACATATCCCTGGGGCAGGTGAGACCCACCCTCTCCTCCCACCACATACAGTCAGTGGTGGTGGAGGCGTGCTCCATGGCAGCCTGGCCTCCTGAGGCTTCGCTCTCCTTCCTGGATTGGGATTCCTCAAGTGCTCAGGACTTGGACCCCCGACCTACCTCTGTCCTGGAGTGTCAGGGCCTGTCACTGACCTGTGAGTCCCCAGGGAGCGGAGCAGGAGCAGGAAGGTCAATGAGCAGGACAAAACCAGAGCCGAGATGTAGCATGCTGGATGGGAGAGAGAGCCGGGGTGGTCGGGGGATGAAGGATCTTGCACAGCCTCTGACCCTATACCTCACTCTCAGGGGAAGCCGCTGGGCCCCAACTCCAGTTCTTAGATCCAACACCAACTGATACTCTTTACAGTCCCGTCCTGTCCGGTAACATATGATAGCTAAGAAAGAGCAAGGGCAGCTTGAATCACAGACCTGGCCTTCACCTTGGTTTTGTTGCTTACATTGCTGTGACCCCTGCAAAGAGAGATTCCTACCTAGCATCTACCTGCAGCTCCCCTCTTCCTGCCCACATGGCTGGACATCAAGAGATCCTTGTGACTATCACAAGCTTCACTGATGGCCATGCTAGGTGGGACCCCTCTGTTAACTCTCTCCCCCATACCCCTGACCTCACACACAGACATAGAGACAGCCAGGTCCACAGTCTCTGTAACGGTAACAGTAGATAGAAAGCTCTGAAGACCTGTGTAAGAATGTAATGGTGGATAGAGAGCTCTGAATACATGTGTAAGAATATCACGGATGCAGCTGACATGTTTCTCAACCCACATGCCAGTCAACCTCACTCTAGACCCTCACAGCAAGCCCACAAGGAATTGTCCAGGGAGGGCTTGGCAGCCCATGCCCCCCTAAATACTCCCCATTCTCTACCCTACACTATCAGCATGCCCTGGGATGGTGTCAGGAAAACAGGCAAAGCAGCCACACCCCCATCTGCAATGTTAGCTGCCTAAGTTCCAGCCATGGCTTGTTAATCCCCCAAAGCCAGAATGCTCATTTCAACAAGGGAACCTCATGTGGACTAATGGTACAAGTTCCATGAGTCATGACTGTCAGGCCTTATGACAGGGTGGAAGGGAGCCCTAACTTGGATGTCAGGAGATCTACCTTCTATCTACTGTGCCTGGTTGTACAACCTGAGGCTGGCCCCTCCCCCATGTGTCCCCATAAAGTGACTGGGAGAGAGTAGGGGGTAGGTAGGAAGGTAGCCGTAAGCTATATCGGACCACTGAAGGGGCAGCTGGTGTGGTTCCCTGCCTAGAGACTTGTCTCCTGGGCAGCAGGGAGAGAGGGATGGTCCAGATAGACAAGGATTTGGGAAGAGAAAACAGGTGCTCTGCCAGGTGCAGCCCGAGCTAAGAGGATTGCCCATAAATCCCAGACCCCATCCCACAAACATGGCTTCTCCTCCCTTCCCACCCCGAAGTCACACAGAAGCCAAGACACCTTCTCTGTCACTATAGCTAGAGAATTAGTTGGTCAACGACTCTCTGGGACTGGAGGAGAGGAAGATGTCACCAAAGTTGATAAGGACCATAGGCTGCAGAACTGCGGAAGCTCCAACTGCCCACGTTTTGAGATGAGGAGTGGAGACCCAGATCAGGAAGGTGCATGACCAAAGGCAACCTGTTTGTTCAGGGCAGGCCTGACTCCTGTCCCACTAGGGCCGTTAGGGACACCAGGCAAGCTCACCTTCCACAGCCCGTAGGTGATGCTTCACCAGCTCTACCACCTCCTGTCGGTCCTCAGAGAGCACGATCCCAAAGCCAGCCAGCAGGTAGGAGACATCCGTGGTGATCCCTGCCCTTACCTTCTGCATAGTGGGCACTACGCTCACCAGCAGCAGCAGGGCCACCTGGAAAAGCCCCACCCATGAGGTCGGGGTTAGGGACCAGCTGTGTGCATATCAGGCCCTGCCACCCTAAAAAAAAAGTGTTTCCTAGTCTGCTAGAGGAGACTGTACCAGGCTGCAGCCACATGCTCCCAACTGTACTGATAGTGGGAACTTCTGCCTTCAAACAGAATGTGACTTGAAGGTATAACTTTAGTCCCAGGAGGCCAAGGATAGGCCTCCATACAGCTGTCTCTATTTATTTCCCTCTACTTGTCTATCTATCTAAGATTCAGAATATAAACATTTCCAACTTTGGGCTGGGGTGATAGTTCAGTCAGTCAAGTGCCTGGTGAACTTTACTGCATTTGATTAGCATAAACCTGAATTCGAATTTCCAGAACCCATATAAAAAGCTAGGCGCGGTGGCTCCTGCTTATAATCCCAGTGCTGGGGAGGCAGAGACAGGCAGGTCCCTGGTGCTTGCTAAGCAGCCAGTCTAGGCTACTTGGCAAGCGCCAGGCCAGTGAGAGATCTGTCTCAAAACACAGAGTGAATGGCAGCTAAGGAATGATACTGGGAGCTGTCTTTTGGTCTACACACACATACACACACACACACACACACAAGCACACACAGAAACACACAACACACATACACAAACACACACGCACACACATGGGTAGGTGTGAGAGATAGATTTTAAGTTTTTCCATGGAAAAAAAAGCATTAAAATTAGAAAGATTTGGATTCAAATTTTGATTGCCCTGATACTAGCTGTAGGAAGTGGCTGAATTAGGTTCTCCTAGCCTCAATTTCCAGTTCATAAAATGGAAAGGAACCAGACCTATATCATCAGTTGTTTTTTTTTATTGCTGTTGTTTATTTGTTTGTTCGTGTTTTGAGACATGATCTCCTCTAGTCCAAGCTGGCCTCAAACTCACTTTGTAGCTGGGGAGGATCTTGGACTTCTGAGTCTCCTGCCTCTACCTCCTCCGTGCTGGGATTACAGGCATGTGTTCCCATCATGCTGGGGATTAAACCAGGGCTTTATGTATGTACACAGGCACTCCACCAACTAAGCTACAGCCCTAGTCCCTGGCAGTTTGTCACTGAGAGTTATGCTGAAGGAGGTGGTGATTTATCCAACATGGCAACTCACAAAATCTTCCCAATGTAGAAAAGTGGTTTTATTTCTTCTATGTTATAGATGAGTTAATAGGTTCAGGGAGATTGAGAAAAGGTCACCCAAGAGGTCAGCAATGGAGGTACAGTTTGAATCCTTGTTTATGTTGACTTTGAACCTGCTGAGGGCTGTCATCCCTCCCACTGGGTAAGCTAGTGTTTCCAGGAGGTGCAGAGCAGCTGATTGGGTGAGGGAACACACCTGGGGATCTGACTGGGGCCTGAGCTGTCCCAGGTTTGGGGACTAAGGACAGAGGCTTGGGGACAGAGGGCACTGCACACTGCAGGACACACCTGGTAAGTGGCTGCTCCTGTCAGAGTGGCCGAGATCACCAGCTTCAAGGGCAGACGGAATCCTACGGCCCCCGGAAGAAGGCATGAGGAGAGCAAAGTGGACCAGCCTCTGGCCCCATCCCTTCCAGGCCAGGCCAGTATGTCCCCTGTCCAGGACTGGCAGCTGTGCCCACATATGAGGAATGAGCTGACCCTTCCCACCAGCTTCTCCGGGCGAAGGCTCAGTCTAACCCTGGGCCTCCGCTGCACCACATACCTGGCTGTGGAGTGTAGAGGGAGTGTTGGGAGCAGGCCCAGGCCCGAGACAGGAGGCTGTGCTTGGAGATGGGACCGGAGCTACAGACAGATGCGGGTAGGTGGAGCCTCAGGAGAAGCCCTCTGCTCCAAGGCCACATCCAAGCTGGGCCACTCTTTCCCAGCGCCATGCCACTCACAGGAACCTCCTCCACGGCACTCACCCAATCCCATCTTCCCACACATGGCTCCCAGAACCTCATCTTCTTGCCTGCTGAGGTATGCCCAGACCTTACCAGCTGCCCAGCTTCTTTGGGTAGAGGAGAGTTCTCAGATACTTCTCAGAGTAGCTGGTCTGCAGACCCTGTGTGGACAAGTGTTGGAATGGCTGAGCTCTGCCACCAGCTGTCCCTGGAGCCCTGGTCAAGGATACTGGATGGATGGATGGATGGACACCAAGTGGTTTTGTAATGCCTCCTAATTAGGACAGTGGCGGTGGAGTGGGGGGAGGCTGACCTATGTCCTATGGGGACAAGGGCCATTCCCTGGAAAGCAACATTCTCCACAAATAAAGATCTCCTACCACAGAGCCTGCAACCTGGAATGTTCTTCCCCAGATCCCTTCTTAGTTATATCTTGGCTTTCTGGCCTCTTCTAGGCAGTACTGGGACCAAGGGAAGTCTGTGCCCCATGGGCTCATTGCTGCTCAGGACACAAGATGGTGCCAGTCTAGAGCATGCACCCTAGATTTTTCTCCTACTATTGCTTGCTGTGGTCTGGGGAGATCACAGGGCCATGGGATTTACCTACACCACATTCCAGGCCTTAAGCTGCCTGCACAGTGACAGAGACTCATGGGAAGGTGGGGTGAACCTCTGCTTGGATCAGCAGAAGAACGCAGGCAATGGTCACCCATTGCCATGGCAACCTGGGACCCCAGGGTAGGAAGGGGTCAGCTCAAAGCTTGACTGAGTCTCTTGTGGTTTAAATCTTTCTGGCTAACATCCAATATGGGCTTAATTCTTCTGACAATTTAGGGGAGAGGGTTGCCATGGAAAGGAGGAGGGACAGAGGGAAGCCTGGGCGGTGGTAGGAATCTCTTAAGTACATGTACCCAGGCCACTGTGTCCTCTGGGGGACCACAGGCTTTGCACAGAGAATATAAACATCAGGAAGGCAAAAGTGGTGAGCGCTTAGGATCCTGCTACGTGTGGGCTGCAGATCTGGAACCGAACCAAGAGGCAGGGACCTCCTGTACCAGACAAGCCTTCTGAGGTCACAGGATTCCCCTCTCTGTGCTTCTCCTCAGCTACAGCTTAGTGCCAATCTATAGCCCAAGCAGAGTGCACCTAAGAGAAAACCTCTCTGGGTGGTACTGCTCCTCAGCTTCCTGCCCTAGCTCAGCTGGGGGCGGCCTGGAGGGGGGCTGTGTTGTTCAAGTCCACGCTTGTGCCAGAGATACTCAGCCAGGTGGAGGTTGTCGCTGGATCCTGCCCCCCCCTAATCTCTTTGCTCCCTCTCCACCGTCTGTGCCTTACTCAGTCCATCTGGGCCCTGACCTTGGCCTCCCACTCCCCAGGAGGCCTCATGACCTCTGCATCTACGTTCCTATGGCTACAGCCTCAATGCAACACTGTCTGGGCTTGCTGTGGTGCCCATTTCAGGGCACTATCCGCAGGAGATCCAAGTCAGTAAATCCTGAAGTCCCAAATTCCAACTAGCACCTGACTCAGGGGAGGGTCTTAGAAACTTCTTGATAAGTTCTTAGTATCTTTCAATAGCACTGTCTTGTCAGGAGGTGTTCATCTATTGCATCCAACCCTTCAAACAATTCAACAATGTTTTCTTTTTTTTTTTTTAAAGACAATCCCCACTTTTCTCTTGTTGTTGTTGTTGTTGTTTGGTTGATTGTTTTTTGTTTGTTTGTTTTGTTTTACAAGACAGAGTTTCTGTGTGTCACCATGGCTGTCCAGGAACTGACTCTGTAGACCAGGCTGGTCTCAAACTCAGAGATCCACCTGCCTCTGCCTCACGAGAGCTGGGGTTAAAGGCATGAACAACCACAGCCGGGCCAAGACAATATCTTTTATATTACCCTAGGCTGGCCTTGAACTTCTGGTTCTCCTGCCTCTACCTCCTCTACCTCCCAATCTCTGGGGGCAGCCATACCCCGTTTACTTGGTACTTAGGATCAAACCCAGGGTTTCATGGTTGCTAGGCAAACATTCTCCCAACAGATAAAACCTCAACCTGTGGAGTATCTCTTATGTGCTATCATCTGCACAACACAGGTCGGTGTGAATGGCACAGCCCCACCCCTTCCCCCAGCTCCTTCATTTGCCTGCTCTTCTCCCTTCAGACTCTCACTGAATTCTGCTTCCTCCAGGAAGGCCCTTCCACCAATCACCCCCTGCCTTGCATCTGACATCATCACCAGTTCAGCTCAATCCGAGTGAGCTTCCTGAAGCAGCCCAACATCCGCAGAATTCTGCAGAGTCACAGGACTCTTAGAGAGCTCATTGCTCCAACTGTACCCTCAAGGGTTTCAAAGACAGAACTATGAACCCATGGATTCAGTTCTGCTTTGCTGAGTCCCCACTCTGCACACAGCCCGGGGTCCTGGGTACTCTGGGGACCTTCAAGAGCCTGGCCCAGCCTCTGCCCTCTGCCTGGGGACAGGGACAGAGGACAGCACCAAACAGTTATTCTGAAAAGAAATTGTTCATGGGCTGGCAGTGAGTAAGTATGATCAAGCCTGATAACCTGAGTTTGAGCCCCAGGACCTACACTGTGGAAGAAGAGAACTCACGAAAGTTGTCCTCTGACTCTGGTCACACTCTGTGCACCCCACCCCCACCTCTCTCTCACACACACGTATGTGCATACATGTATAGGCACATAGAAAAAAGATGCAGTTTTAAAACACAGAGGGCACAGACCTGAGAAGGCAGGAGTCAGGGAAGCCCTGGTCCACACTCTACCTGGGAACCTGCTTACCTGGGAACCTGCTTCCATCCGGTACCGGACACTCTGCACCAGTTGTACTGGGTACCAAAGGCTCAGGAACCCGAGGCCCAGAAACAGAGGCAAGGAGGCCAGCAAGGAGTAGTACTTGTAGATCTGGACAGACAGACACACAATCAGACCTACCTTCTGCCTTCTTCCCAGGATCCACATCCCTTCCCACCCCACACAGGGCCCTGGGGATGGCCCCGGGTCCATGGTAAGCCTTCTGGTTCTAGGGCCACCAAACTGGCTCATCTACCAACTTGGGGCCCTAATAACTTAAACGGAATCCAGAGAAGGTGGCACAATCCTTTCCTAAACTCCCATGGGTTTCAGTGAGGCCTGCAACCAGTCACCCAGTTTCTCAGTTTCTGTGCTCATAGAACATTAGGACACACACTACTAAAAACTAGACCACAAAAGGGGCTAGAGAGATGGCTCAGAGGTTAAGAGCACTGGCTGGTTTTCCATGGGGCTTAGATTTGGTTTCCAGCACCCACATGGTGGTTCACAACTCTCTGAACTCTGGGAGTCTGGTGCTCTTTTTCTGGCCTCCACAGACACTGTAAGCATGTGGTACACACACATGTGTCCATACATGCAAACAAAACACTCATCCACATTTAAAAAAAATAAAAATTAAATAAATAAAAAACTAGATGAAGACCCCATTTTTTTCTAATGCAGTTTGTCTAGTACACACCCCAGCACCCACGTGAGACTTCCCTGGGTCCGCTCCTTCCACAGTCATTTATTTGACTTTCAAGTCAGTATTTTTCTTGAGAGCATAACATGTGCCAAGCCCCAACTGCCTTAGCAGAAAAGCTTCTTAGCTTTTGGTGTTTGGGGTCTTTGTTTTCTATTTTGAGACAAGATCTCGCTACATAGCCCAAGTTGGCCGCAAACTAGTGATCCTCCTGCTTCAGCTTCCCAAGAACTGGAATTAGAAGTGAGACCCATGATGCTTGAATTTTTAAATATTTCCTGGAGAGATGAGTGTTGCCAGCTCCGTCGACTCGGTGGGGAAACTGAGTCTCAGACAAGTGACTCTTTTCCCTGAGCACTCAGCCCTAGGAGGTGCACCTTGCTTGTGTGTGCACTGTGTCTCTTCCTCTGGAAGGACAGCTCCTGGAAGGCCAGGGACTTACTTTATTTTGTCCACAGGGGCATTTCGAGGCCTGACTAAAACAGCAGCTGAATAAGCGAAGCGGTCCCTGGAAAATGAGTGTGGCCAAGCCGTGGATCTGGGATGTCTGGCTAGAAAGCAGATGCAACTGCACCGCTGATCTTTGGGTCTGCACTGACGAGCTTCATAATCTCAGCCAGGAGCTAGCGAAGCTGTTCTGGGGTTCTAGAATTTTTCTTTGGGCCTCTAGGCTATCTCCCCACTCATCACTACTTGCCTCTGTCTATTCATTCTGCCCAAAGGAAGCCCCTGAAATCAGGGGAAGGGTGCTGCAGGCTTCCTTGTCCTCACTCTGCCCTCCTAGGCTGAAAGCTGCCGAGGACACAGCTCAGATCCCCGCCCCAGGCCTCAGCCCCAGAGCAGCCAAGCTTGGCCACAGACATGGCATGCAGGAGATCTGAGAACAATGAAGGGAAGCAGGGAAGCCCAGAGTGTGGGCAGAGGTGAGAAGAGACAAGCAGGAGCATTCTTCTCCCCTAGGCCACTGTGAGTCAGGCTTACCTTGGGGTCCTGAGGACACTCGGCTCTCTGCCAGACCTGAACTCCAAAGTGGGCCCAGGATAGCACTGTGCCCAATAAGTATGCCATGCGGTGCCCTGCTGTGGCACAGGCAGCCAGAGGGTAATAAAGGACTGGGTAGTAGAGCAGGGCCAGTAGCTTCCAGGGCTCTGGAAAGGGAAACAAATGAGAGACACTAACAGAGAGAAAGACTGAGGGCCTGGACCCTTCCCATCGAAGCCTCTTCCCTATCTATCTCAGAAGCTCCTCAGCTTCTTCAGTGGGTAAGAAGTCACTTCGCTTGGGTGCAAACAAAAGCTATGATCTTAGCCAAGTTACCTCGTAGTGTCTCCGTCTCCCCATCTGTGAAAAGGAAAGAGGCACAGTGTTTTAGCAAAGGCGAACCGAGAAGTGCTTAGCATGGTGCCTGAGTAAGTACTCCGCACGCTAAGTACTTTTGATTACCGCTTTCTTCTCTGACCCTTAGTTCTCTCTCAACTAGAGCTATTACTACTGTCCGCCCTTTATGGAGATTGTTGATCTACAGAGGTCACTCTGCGGTCAGTGTACCCCCTACTGACAGATGTTCCTGTTGCCATCACCTCCCCCAGCCAACCTCAATAAACCAGGACCCCACCCTGCCTTGTCTCATCAGGCCAGCTCCAGGAGTCCCTGAGCAAGATACCTGGGGTGGATGCTGCCTTGAGGCTCAAGAAAGGCAGTGGGTTCTCATCAGGAAGCAACAGGCAGAGATGGCTGAAGAGGACCACAAAGACAGCAGTGGGCACCGTCCAGGATCGGTCCCCAGCCAAGAAATCCACAGGGCTGCCATGGACAGGGACAGGAAAGAAGGAAGACTCTCAGTCCCTCAGCCTTTGCCCCTCCACACTCTGCTCCCTAAACTGTGAAGTAGTCAGTCTACCATCCAAAGGGAAGAACGGAGATCTCTCTTTCTCTGTTCATCTATTCGCTACCAGCATGTTTGTGGAGGGCCTCGCACCCATCCTGAGCTGGGCACTGAGGCAAAAGGCGGGTGGGAACAAGCTCTTGATGCTCCACCCGCCAGGGGAGCTCCAGGAAACAGCCGCCTCCATGGGAGTAGATCTGTCTGTCTGGGCTGGCAGGCCTTCAGAGAACACAGCGAGTCATAACATCCTTGTGCAACGACCGCCTCCTTGGACTGGGTGTGGACCAGGGCAGAGGGCAGACAGCGGGCACGGCAGTCTCAGGCTTTTGGTCTCTGCTTCTCTACTCTAGTTTGTCCTGGTTTTCTGGGAGCCCCATCCTCTTTCCTTCTATGCCCCAGCAAAGCAGGCTTCCCCTGCCCTGACATCTCAGGCTGCTCCCACAGAAGCTCCCCATTCCCACAGGACTTGCACCTGCTAGCTTTCCTAACGTTTGTTGTCTCCTTCTTCAGCCCACTCCAGTGTCCTCAGAATGTCCCCTGCCTCACTCTCTGAAGTGAGTTATACAGCCAAAGGAAAAGGGAAAAGGAAAGTGGCAGCCATGGGGGCTGAAGGGTGGTCACTCACAAATCGTGATCCCAGGATGTTCTCAAGGGAAGAGATTTGAGAGGACATCAGCGGGTGATGGCCACTCTAGGTCACTCTAAGTCAGAGGGCTGCCTACCAGGACCTTCCCTTCCCTGGAATCCCTTACCCCATCTCCTGAACACTCAAGCAGGTGGACAGAGCAGCCTCTCTACCTCCTTCTGTTATACCCTCCTGCCTAAGCCAAAAACTCTGGGAGGGGAAGGCTCCAGACTGAGAGAGACAGGGGTGTCTCTGTAGTCAGATCTGGTTTTAAACCGTTTAAGAAGTTACCCACCCTCCTAGAGGAACCTTGTCAGCTGGGCCTCAAGTGGGGCTTCCCAGAACCTAGCACCAACCTGGGAAGTCCGGGCCTGCTATGACCACACCGTGGCCAAAGCCTGCGGCGCCTCACCAGCAAAGCCAGCAACAGCAGAGCCAGGAGCTGGAAGAAAAGAGCAGAGAGGGCTTGGGTGTCAGGCTTCCCCTCCGGTCTGAGTTCCAAGACTTGTCCCTGTAGGTCTCAAAATGCTCTGCACCCACCCAATGCATGCTCAGGTGACATCTTGGGGACTGGCTAAAAGATGACAGAGTGTGTGAGAGATTGGACTTGGTTAGTATGACTGGTTTGGGGAGCACTAGGTCCTCAGCACCATCCCAAATAAGAACATAAATCCCTCTGCCTTGACTGGCAGCAGGTGGCAAGGCAGGCTGGACTTACTGACAGTGAGGCCAGGCAGGCATGGTGCAGGGCAGGTGGTACACTGGGCTGGCAAGGTGGCTTCACCCTACAGAGCAAACGATCCATAAGTTTAGCTGGATCTAGGGTCCAAGGAGGTCTCACCAGCATCTGCCTCCCTCTACCCTGACCCCAGGTTGCCTAGTTCTGCTCTTCAGGGTCAGTCTGGATCCCCATGCCCCTGTATTGTGCTGGTCCTGTGCCATGCTATAGGGCCAGAGACAAGAGACTCCTGAGAAACACAGAGTAGTGAAGCTTGGTCTGAATATCTATTCTTGGTCACCCCAGTAGTTCCTGTCCTCCAAGGTCATCATCAACCGTTAACTTTTAGGGGATTCCTGATCTACAGATCTACAGAGGTTGAGCCTACGACCTGAATCAAGTAGTCTAGCCTTTAGTCCTGTAGTATTTGCTTTTGATGCCTCAGGGATCTAGGACCGGAAGGGTCCTTTCTCTTTCCCCATTCCATCTCATTAAAAGCTTTGGGGTGCAGCAAAACAGATTGTATTCTTGCACAAGGACAGGACTCAGAAATCCAGGCCGTACAGTTCTCCATGCTCTGTGCCTGCTGAGCTGAACACACTAAATGAAGGGTCCCTTTTCCTAATCACCACAGAGGCTCCCTGGGGCCTGGCAGAGGTCCTGCTCTGAAGCACAGCAAGGAGCCAGTGGAAAGAAAAGGCTCAAGGAGGACCACAAATGCCACAACATCCATCACGTGGGAGAGAAATCTTCAACTGAAGATGGGTAAGCAGGCAGGCTGGGTGCCAGGGCTGGGATAGTTTTCTAGAATGCCCAGTTAGCATCTGAGAGCCAGAGGGAGGGTTCCAATGTAAGAGAGACCTGAGAAGATGGGGGTGTGGCGTGTGGGGGATGGGGAACTGGGGGAGAAGAGTGAGAAGTTGGGAAGGGGGAGGGGCAGGGGATGGAGCTGAAAGACTTCTGCTATGGCTTGGCCTTGTTGGTCAGGAGGCTAGGCCACCCTCTTAGGCACCTGCCTGCTGAGCAAAAAAGAGCAAACAGGTGTGCTAAGCCCCGGTATCATCTGCTGGTTGGCCTCCCCTTCCACCTGGTTTTCTCTTGGGGACTTCTTGAGCTCATCATTGAGGTGGAGGGGTCAAATGGGTCTTTAATGTGCCATTTCTAGCCCCAGCAAAGATACTCCCATAAGCAACATGCCTGTCATGCAGGGGCATAGGGGAATGATTGTTACTGCCTGAGCTTGGGTCTTGTTTTTTGTTTTACGAGGCAGGGTTCCTCTGTAGCTTTGGAACCTATCCTGGAATTCGTTCTGTAGACCAGGCTGGCCTCGAACTCACAGAGATCTGCCTGTCTCTGCTCCCCGAGTGCTGGGATTAGAGGCATGCACCACTACTGCCCGGTTTGAGCTTGGGTCTTGTAGCCTCTCACTCCCAAGTGCAATGTGACCAGCCTTTGGGGCCTGGGGAGCACCACTCAAGTCCCTAAACCCTTCTCCATGTCTAGTCCTGCTCAGTCCTGTGCTTCTAGCCTTGCCAGGACAGGGATGCAGTACTCTGTTCCTTGAGCAACTTGGCCACTTTCTCATGAGCCCACATCAAACGAAAAGCCACTTCAACCCTGAAAACCTTATTTAGAACCCTATCTGGAGAAACTCTGGTCCTTACTGAACGTAACGTTCCTGGCACCTTAGTTTAGTTGTTCACTGGGGATGGGTGGGGACTCAGGCTTTGTGTGATTGATCAGACAGGATAACATAGATATTACCATGGAGAGGAACTACCTCTCTGGTACTAAAGAGCATAGAGGGAAGAGAAAGTTCTACCAGGCTTCTGAGAAGATGGCTGAGAGGCTCCAAACTGGGTCACAGTCATAAACAAGTAATCTTTACACAGCTTTGGAACTTGAGTGGGACAGAGGTTAGCATCTCCTCGGGAAAAGAAGGGAAGAGGCAGCCCTGGGGTGCAGAAAGAGCCTGAGCAGGGAGAAGACAGTGTCTGGCACTAGACAAGCCTCTCAGCTTGCTGGTCCAGAGGGAGGCCAGGGCAAGGTTAAAGCCCTCCCTGGTGTGGGAGGCACTGGGAAGCCCGCCTGTGCAAAGCAGAGGCCTGAAGCTTAGAAGTCTGTGAGTGAGTCCATCCTGACCCTAGGACCCCACCCTAGCTCCATCCTACGGTGCAGGGCACACTAAGGTACAGAGAGCCTGCATCCTGGAGCTTTGATGTAGCGCACCCCTGGGGTGTCTGACTCACATCGGCAGAGGTGAACCCAAGTTCATCTCCTAGGGAATCCCCTGTACTCCCGGCTCTCTGTTCTCATCTTTGGCGGTGGGGGTAGGGTTGGGGGAGAGGTGGAGTTGTGTCTAGACTTGCTATGTTTTGTTTTCTGAATAAGAAGGTTGCAATAATCCCCTTCACTCTACAGACCCACCTCTCCGCAGACCCGGTTCCCACCATACACTCACCTTATTCTAACTGCACACAGATCCCCAGCAACAGAACTAGTTGCAGGCACCTGGCTTCCAGCCCATGCCCAGCCTGGTCCCTGACACTCACAAGGACACAGTTTCTGATTGGGTCCTCACCCCAAGTTTGGAGCTTGGTGTCCTTGGAGAGCCTAGGCCCCTCCTTTAGCCCATGCCTACGTGGTAGAGTTAGGGGGAGAGGGGGTCACGAGGGCCTTACTGACCACAGACTTCTTCTGCAGGTGGCCAGAACCCTAAGTCCTCCGAACAACAGCACCTTCCCTTGGGCCTGGGTGGGGCCTCAGTCCCTGCTGGGTGACCCCAACCAAGCCATGCCGCAGCCATAGCCTCTGGGGAAACACTTGAGCATTTTTCCTTCTCCGGTTTCAAATTTTAATGGGGAACAGATGTGCACACATCTGGCTTAGTACCTCCCCTCCACCCCATCCCACTCCACCCCCACCTCTCTGCCTCACCTTTCCAGTTCTTCAAAAACCCTCAGAAGGAGCAGGGGCCAGGAACAATGCCGGGAGAGCTGAGCTCAGGGTGCCATGGAGGCAGCTGGTCTCAGGGAGAGGAGTGCCGTGCCACAGAAAACCTCAGTGCCCAGACTAAGCAGATAGCAAGGGTCAAGGCCAAGAATTCGCAGGACACCCGTGGGAGGAGGGTGAGTTGGACTGCGTGTGTACCTTCCCTGAGCTAGCCTACGCACTTGCTGCTAAAACCAGACCTCCTCTCCTTCCGTACCTTCCTAAACCCGACTCAAGAGTGGACCAGAGATGAGCTACAGGTTTCCTCAGTGACTCCCCAGGTTTTCCTTCTAGGGTTTCTGACTCTCCCGTTCTTGTAAAGCCCCAGGTACAAACCATATACCAGTCACCACAGAGGTCTGGGACAGTCACATCGCTCCCACCTTGGCTGGCTACAGGCCAGAGGGCCTCAAGCCCTTCTTAAGAACTCAAGAACGGTTGTTCTCAGGTCTTAGAGACAGCCTGAAGCTGTGACCTGGTGTCACGCAGCAGATAAACAGGAGAGCCAATCTTAAACACTGGTCCAGGGTCTCTCTGCCTCCATCTTGGTAACCTCTCGACCATGACCCGTGCTGATGGCTGACTGAGCCAAATGCTACACTTACCCCTCTGGCTGCACCTCCTCAGGCCCTAGAGGCTCCTCGATGTACCAGCTGCTGTAGTCATCCGTCATCCCAGAGGAGGTCTGGTTCCCATCCTCTGCTGCGTGGGACGCCATGCTCCAGCCCTTCTTCCTTGAACCCAGAAAAGGGAGTGACAGAAAAGGAAGAAAAGGGGGGGCATACAAATGTGAAAAGAGGCTTAAAAGAAAAAAAAAGAAAGAAAGAAAACCAGAAACAAAGGAGCATTTCTTTTTAATCCCAAAGGTTACTTTCTTGCTTTTAGCTCTCTGGGAAAAGCCATCTGGGACTTCAGGTCAGGGAAGGGCTGGTGGGGTGGGGGTGGAGGGGAGTGGGGGAGCATTCAGGAGCCTCCTCTTGTCTTTCCTACCCTTTTGCTTGGTCTGACAGTCCTTTCCTGCACCCCCTGGAATCCCAGGCTTTTGCTGGAGCACCTAGTGGGCCAACTGACCTGCTACCAGCTGGTCTACTTTCAAAGATTTCCCTAGTGCAAACTGCCCGCACAGACCCCTTCCTTCCCCGCCCCAAGCCCACCCAGATGGACCCACAGACAGAGTAGAAAGGGGGGGACCAAGGAGGAAGGAGCTGCAGAGATGAAAGGGTGGGCGGGCTGTGGCCGGCACCACTTGGTCTGTCCCACAGCTGGGCTCCCCACCCCTCCTGCTCTGGGGTCCAGCCCAAGCCCTCCCCCCTTTGCCAAACTCCCTTGAGACCATCCCCCAGTGTCCGCTTGCCCCTGGTCAGCCCCTTTACCTTTACAGCCTCAGTGCTGGGAACACACCATGATTCTTGATGAGCCCCCTCCCCGCCCCCGCAGATGAATGTACAAGCCTACCTCCAGCACCTGCCCCGAGCGAGCTCTCCCCGCTAGGCACAGCCCCTCTGCAGAGCCCAGTATCGTGGCATCTTAGGACAACACCCTACTGAGACTGGCCACAGAGGCAGGGAGGAACCTATCCACATGGTCTCCTGAGTATATATGAGGGAGAACACACGTGTTACACTAGTCAAACCTTTTTGTTCTTACGACTTGATTTCACAAGAAGATAACTCACCCCCACAGGCGGAAATGAGTCCTTCAAAACTCAAACCAGACCTGCGAGAAGATGAACCCCGTCTGCCTGCTGCTGTGCTTGTTCCAGCCCCGGTGAAGGGGTGAGAGCTTCCTATCCTCCCAGAGGAGCTGGACCCCTGGCTGCCCCCTCCCTTCCCTGGCCCAGTCTGTGGGGAGGAGCAAGAGGCAGACAAAGCAAAGAGCTGTTCTCAGCTGGGACCCAACACTCTGTGGCTTCCAGCCCTTCAGAGTGCCACAATTCTCCCAGCACTGATGCTGAAAGACGTTGGGCCATGACCTTGTCCAGACGGGTTTTAAAAGCATTTTTATTACATTTATCTAACGGGTGGGTGTGCAGTTTTTTGGGGGGCAGCACATGCCATGGCAGGGAATGACATATAGGAATTGACTTTCTCCATCACGTGGGACAGACCACAGGTCACTGGGTCCTGGTGGCAAACATCTTTTCCCACAGAGACATCTGATGCCCCCCCCTTTAAAAAAACATTTATTCATTTTTTTTTCAACAGAAACCTACTGACCACCTACTATGTGCCAGTACTGTTCTGGATGTTGAGACTATAGAGATCACAGTCCAGGAACCTGTCCTATCAACATGCATTAAATAACCCCCAGAGCCTGAAGGTTGCCGTGAGAAGCCAAAGGGTGTCCTGATCAGTCCCACGGGGACTGTTTTTGGCCAAAGAGCAGTGGGAATGAGGAGGATTCCTGAGGAAATTCCCCTTTGGGTAGAACTCTGCAGGACACCAGCTGGCCAGCAGACTCAGACAGAGCTCAGAGTGGACAGGTCTCAGTCTCACCAGCTCACCTCCCACTGCTAGCCAGACCCACTAAGCCAGACTGGGACCTGAGCCCTACGAGCCATCTCTGCCTCCCTCCCAAAGGACCTGTCTTCCAGGAAGATGACTCCAACTTCCCCTCTGATTCCACAGAAGAATTGTTAAGACGGAGTTTTCTCAGACACAGCGCAGGAGCCAGCACCAGGCCTGTCTGGTCTCAGGGTTCAGGCGAAACCAGCCCCTAGACATACTGTTGGCCCCCTAGGGACAGGGCCCTGCTTCTCTGTCCCCGACTCTCTTTACCTTAGAATTTTACCTGGCTTCGAGATCACAGAGACTTTAGAAACAGTCTAGCAGAAAGGTTCCTTGTTTCAGTGGCCCTTCTTCAATCATGGGCCTATATCATAAGGTTGCAATGTCCCAAGCTTGCTGGAGCCCTTCACCTCTCAAGGATAACAGACACTCAATAGAGAGCAATCAGCCCCTACTGATTTTAACCCTGCCTCCTGTGATACCTGTAACCAAGAGTTCAGTCCTAGACAGTAGCCAGCTGCCTGAACAGGACAGACACTCCTTGTTGAAAACCTCTATCTATCAACCTTGTCCTGTCTTAGAGGGATTCACTGCTACCTCTCAAGCCTTGTTAATTCATTCATTCCAAGTATCTTATGTGGCAGTCATGTCTCCGCCTGCTGATGGCACAGGGTCATCCCACAAGACTTATGGCATATAGGGAAGTAGAAAGGAACAGCTCACTGTGAGCCATCAGAGCTGAGGGGGAAATACAGTAAGGGGAGAGACGGGTAGTGTGGAACCAGCTCTTTTAGGACAACTGGTGTGCAAAGGCCTCACTGGGCAGGTGGTTTGGAGCCTGGATATGAGGGGAGGGAGGAAGGAACCCTATCGGGCTGCCTGAAGGAGCCTCTGTTCACTCAAGGGTGAAGTCATATAGATAGCTTCTTGCCAAGGCCAGACATGGCCACTACCCCATCTCCCTGTACCAAATTTGCTCCCCTAGAAGAGATTCCTATAGATGCTGCCCAGATCCCAATATACTACCTCCGTATTCTCTAGGGAGATGTAGCAGCCACCTTAATGGCAGTCCTACCTCCCTGGCAGGGATAGGAAGGTATAAAATTTGTTTTTCTCTGTTGGCATGGACCCAGAAGCAGCCTTGGGTCTAGTGCTTGGAGCAGCGCAACACTGGCAGGGGAAGCAAGACAGGTTCCCACATGGCAGCGGATAGGAACATTTAGGGAGAGGCAGGCTCCCTGTGCCTGAGTGTTGGTTCTGCCCTTGCAGCCTTGAGTGACTCCTTACTCCAGCCAGGTCTCAGCCCCGCCTCCATGGCACCCAGCCTACAGATTCTTCTATTGTGGCTTCTCCCCCAAGACAGTCTTCGGTGACTTCAGGCCCTGAGAATGCGGAGGCATCGCATCAGACCTTGTTGTAGCAAGCATATCAAAGCATATCAAAGCCACAGAGTCTGACTTTGGCTATGCAGGTCCCCCTCTCCCCCCCCCCCATGACTTCTACCTACCCTCTGGTTCCCTCATCCACTCTGGTGGGACCAGGGGAAAAGATCCATGAGTAAATGGGTAACCATGTTCCAGCAGCTGAAGACGAACCTATTTCTTAAGCCCAAGGTTCTTCCTCAGCCTGAAACAAGAACAGCATGATCCTCCCACCCACAAACCAGAGGACTAGCTCTGAGAGGATGGGAATAAATCGCCTAGCCATATGGGCAAGCTGCTAAGGAGAAAGGTTGGGGTTCAGGAATGCTAAGACATGCCCCTGAAGGATTTCTGTAAAGTCCTGGGCAGCAGGCCCAGCCTGCCCCTAGGAGCTGGCTCCATAGCGGCCCCTGTACCCAGAACAGCAGGTGGGTTCTGCCCTCAGGACCGAGTGCTGCAGAGAAGAGGCAACTGCAAGAAAGAACAGTAGAGACCCGAGGAAAGTGGAGGGCAAGGGAGGAAAAATAATCTTGGGGACTTCCTGGCAGGGTATGGAACAGGATCCTGAGGTCAGAAAGCTCTAGGCAGGGCCACAAGAAATGACGAGTCTTAGGAAGCTGAGACAGGGAATACAAGAAGCCAAGAGAACCCGGAGCAAGGGAGGGTAGGGCTGCCTCCCGCTGTAGCCTGTGTGAGCTCTGGTGACTGGGGTGAGGCTGGTCCTGGCTGACCAAAGTGCCAAGGCCTCCTCAGGCTAAGGCCATTGGCTATCTGGGCTCGATAGGGAGAAACCTTGTCCCTTGGGATGGAGCTGGTCCTTAAAAGCTTTGGAATAGGGCTTCCTTCCTCTCGGTGTTTTTGTTCAAGTTGATTAAACCTGAGGAATGTTTGTGTCCCGGAATAGAGGCCCACGTGTGCGCCTGTGGTTATCAAAATCTTCAAAGGGCAAAGTGCTAAGCTCAGAAGGAGCCAACAGCAACCTGCCATGAATGAGGGGAGCAAGCACTCCCAGAACCTCAGAAGGATTGAATCTCAGCAGTACCCCCATATGTTAGTAACTCCAAGAGAACCCCCAGAACATCAGTGCTTCCCCTGAGGCCCCTCAGAACTTCACAAGCACACACACTCACTCAAAAACCCCAGGATTTCAGCCTGGGGAGAGGGAAAAAGAAGGTTCAAATCCCAGTGAGCAGCAGCCAGAGCCCACAGACCCCCATCTCTCTCTACCCTCCTACCCCAACCTTGGACTCTAAACCCAGCAGCACACCCCAAATCACACAGCATCCAAAACTTAGCTATACTCCAACCCCACAGAAAGATACAGAGCCCACTGGGTGCTTTAGTCCACTGTGGGGCTGGGTGGTAGCCACCCCAGAGATCATGCAGGCAACCAGAAAGGCAGAATCAGTTCCAAGAAGGCAAACAGTTGGGAGTGTGCTTACCAACATAACACACACACACACACACACACACACACACACACACACACATCATCATCATCATCATCATCATCATCATCAAACAACCCCAGTACACACAGGAGCCAAACTATCGTAATGCCACACAGTGAACAGGGAAACAGGTCTGTTGACTGTTCAGCTTGAGAGAAGTTAGCGTGGGTGTTCTTTATCTCTTTCTTCCTCTGCCAAACAGGAGGGTCAGAGCATCACGGGATGCCTCGCTAGAATTCTAAGTCTCCTCACCTATACCACCATGTGCTAAGTTGGGGTAAGGTGAAGCAGAAGAGGGTAGCTGGCTGCTCCAGGGGAGTGGCATGTTCTTCCCCTCCCAGAGGACCAAGGGAGC